GAGGAGGAGGGGGGGGAAAGGAAGGAGGGCGATAGCAAAGTTATGTTCCTCTGCTGCCTTCTCGGCCCCCTTTTTACAGGAGAAAGGAGTGTCCCCGGGTCACATAACTTGTACCCGAGCCAGCTCCTGGTCGGATCAGCACAGGTACAGCCATTAACCGGGAGAGCTCATCCCTTAATGACAGTGTTTTTCTTAAGTAAACAAACTTTTACTGCTCTTTAACGGCCTCACTGTTTGAAGTCTCTGAAGCAGAAAATGGTTAAATTCTTGGGAAAACTGACCTACATCGGAGAGGCAGGTTCAGGGCAAACCCGAGATCGGAGGTTTGCGTTTATTAAACATCATTCCGCGCGTCTGTACTTTTCGCTTTAACTTTCCCGGTGATTAATTGCTGTATTGTGAAAACTCCTGCAGGGCCTTTATGGTTCCACCGTTTCTATTAAACACCCAGAAGTTGTCAAAAACGCAATGTTTCTGAAACCCTAATAGAACTCGCTACGAATTATTCATGAAGACAGTTCTAGATTCAACAGGAAAATTATTGCCTCCTCAAATATTAATGACTTCTGATTTCTCCGAGGCCGGGGGAGCGGGCAGAGGGATTTCTGGCGAGGTGCGGATTTTCCAGGTTGGAGGAGAAGGCCGTTAAAGCGGCGGCAGCGGGAGGAGCAGGACGGGCAGGGATGGCTTCGCCTCCTTCCCGGAGGATCGGGAACAATAGTACGAGGCGTGGGACGGAGCCCCTCTCCCTCCCGGGTGGCCCCCGCCGCCCCCCGCGCATCTCCCGCAGCCCGGGGGCCGCCACCTCCGTCTCTCCCTCCCCCCCCTCCACCTCCGCCATCACTCCCCCCTCCAACATCCATCCCCCCCCCCACTCCCGGGGACGTTGGGAAACGGGGGGGGGGGTTATGGCACAATTTCCAAGCTGAATTTCACTGCACACTTTTGCCCAGCTACAAGTGTGGGGGGAAAATGGCGGTTTGAGATCCTGCGCTTCTCCATCGCCCGGGGAACTTTTCTGCGTGGCTGCACCTCCGTGCCCGGGCTGCGGCAGCCGGGACCTGTAAAATGTCCTCTCCCTGCCGGGTAGGGATTTCCACGTAAGAAAACCTGCTCTCGCGGAAGGAATACTCGCGAACGGCTGGGATGGCTCCCCTTTAGCGAGGCGTTCAGGGAATGCAAACCGGGCAGCTGAGAAAACGCTGCCCTCTTCCCACTTGAACCCGGACTGTACGGAGGGACTTTTCCGTGGCTCTTTCGGGGGGGGGGAGTTAAGCGAAGTCGAACATTTTTCAACTCTGGGGGAAGCGGAATGCGCCGCAGCCCGCTTTTACCTGAATGTAACTCACTTGGTACAAGCAGAGTGCTTACGAGGATGGCTTTCCCTGGGGTCTCCTAACTTACTGCTTGCTTGTACTACGCTAATATCCTTGATTTGTTGTCTCAACTTAGATGCTGAAGGTCAAATTGTTTCCTTAGGTGAAACTGTAATTAGATTAGATGCGTGCGTGTGTCTGTGCACCGCTGTATGTCGACGGTATTTGGTTACAGGACCCGCACCCTTTTCTGAGAGACCTTATTTTTAACCTCTTCCCTCTCACGCCAGGTATTTACCCATCCTCTGTGCAAATGTTAGCGGTGCAGGCTGTGAGAGCTCCTCGTTGGTTATTACAGTGCGGAAAGGATATGCTTTAAACGCGGAGCCATGAGCTCTTTCCCACCCACCTTGCATAAAGTGCATTCATGTGAAATATTTGGAATGCCTTCCTTTATGTGCCTCTGTTCGCAGCCGAGCACGAGGTGGGCTGCGTCCCTCCGAAATTTGATCGTGATGAACTGAGAGGAGAAAAAAAAAAAACAAAAACCAAACAACCAAACCCAAACCACTAGATTCGAAAATAAAACCAAAGCCTGGAAGCTTTTACAAATATTGGACGTCCTTTCGACCACATACGCCATGATGGTGAACACAGTGGCTTTGTTTGCACTTCACGTTTAAAGTTCGGCCGTATATTTTTGTGGTGCCCTCTGCGCCCTGATACTCCAAAAAACAAACAACCAAACCCAAACCACTAGATTCGAAAATAAAACCAAAGCCTGGAAGCTTTTACAAATATTGGACGTCCTTTCGACCACATACGCCATGATGGTGAACACAGTGGCTTTGTTTGCACTTCACGTTTAAAGTTCGGCCGTATATTTTTGTGGTGCCCTCTGCGCCCTGATACTTTTTGGCTTTTGACGGTTGAGGAGGTTATTTTCATACTCGGTTGGGGCAAGACCTGGATACTCCTTGGCGAGTAGGATTTTGCAATTTGCTGTTATCAGTGATAACAATGTAGTCATCATTTCATCCCGAAGCTGTCTGTGGCGTGTTTCCTTGAAAATCTCCTATATACCTTGTACCATTCCTGGGCCACACGATCCAAGATTAAACTTTCACACCATTCTAACAACACGATTATATTTCTATTACACTTAAAGTCACTTATCATATTACCAGACAAAATAATTCCGATTGCAATTCCTGCCATGGAAAAGGAATTCTGCCCTCACGACAGTGGCGCACACAGGCCTAGCCATCCTCCTGCTGAATTTCTGTCGTTTTGCCCCCCACAATCAATGTCTTTTTGAAAGATTTCGTGCCTTAACACACGATATCAGCGAGCCGGGGAGCGGGAAAAGGAAGGGGGATGCGAATCTTCCGCGGGATTGTAATCAGTGCAAGAATGGGGTGGATGAGATGTGATCTAGCCGGGTTATGAATAATATTTCCACGTGCACCTGGGGCAGCGTGAGAAATGTATTTAACATCAAAACCTTCCCAGGGATAAATCACTGACCGCTCTTTCTGCAGGATATCGGGGTCTGCCGGGACAACGTGCGTTCGTTGTTTGCCCGGAACGACCACTTGGCCTCTTAAGTTTTCCTTATCCCGGGGCTTTGTCTTTGGCATAAAACCCCACGTTGACACACGGGGCAGGGGAAGGGGGGGGACAAGCCGGCTGGGCAGGGAGCTCCCGGTGCGGAGCGGGCTGCGGAGCCGGGCGAGCACCGGGCGGCGGCGCAGGGGCAGCCCAGCGGGGCGGGCGGGGAAGGGCAGGGCCGGTGGCGGAGGCCGGAGGGGAGCTGCCCCGGGGAGAGGAACCGTGCCAGGGAGGGAGAGAGTGTCCGGAGGGGAGGCTGCGGGCTTGGGGCGG